GCAGTGTCCCGGGTGTCCTGCTGGGTGCAGACATGTGACTAGGTCTGGCTGACAGCTGACACCCCACGTGCCCTTCGACGGGTGAATGAATCTGTCCACGCGACAGAGCCTGGTTCAGCCGTAAAGAGAAATGAAACTTGGATGTCAGCCCCAGGGGGGGCAGGTACCCTCTGATCCCAGGCACCGGAACTCCCCAGAGCAGGCAGGGACAGGGACAGAGAGCAGGACCTCAGAGGGGGTGGGACTGAGGAGTTATTGTGAGGAGATAGAGAGTTTTCTGTTAGGTCTTGCAGTGAAGCAGTGGACGGAAGGTTGGTGTTCCCATGTCCCCGGTGGACGGTGGAAGGAAGACCTGGCGGTAGACGGCAGCCAAGGAAAGCCCGTGGGGTCCCCATGGGTCAGACTCCGCCGGGCAGCCATGGGTTTGGGTTTAGTGGTATTGGTTTGTGAGGTTCCCTTCAGGCTGACGAAAACCCTGCCGGGAGAGGATGTGGTCAGTCAGTCAATGAACCCTCTGCTTACAAAAGGCAACAAGACAAACTCTGAGCTGTCTACATTGTATCATCACAAAACCAGAAAGCTTTCTCTGTAACACAAGCTCCCCAGTTGTCCGCACCACCTGGAGGCGTAGGGGCTCAGGGAGGGAGAGGGGAGAGGAGCCCTGGCTGGTCCCCTGCGGTGGGGTGGGGTGGGGCTGAGGGAGACACCACAGCCTCCAGGAACCTGTGGCTCCTACTGAAAATGGCCCCAATTAAAACGGGAGCTCCTTGCCCAGGGCTGGGAGCACTGCTTCCTCCAAGCCGTCTGGTCCTTCTAAATCCCCAGAGGGGACCAGGCCTCCTGGGAGAACTGCTCAGGGGAGAGCTATCCATGAAGCCCCCAGGCGCCACTGCCTCCCTGCCAGCCTGTGCCCTGCCTCTTCCCTCCACACCCTGCACCTCTGCATCCTTCTACCCTTCCACCCTCTCCACCCTGCACCCTTCCATCCCTGCACCCTTCCACTCCCTCCACCAGTGCACCCCTTATGCCTTCTCTGCCCTACACTTCCTGCATCCTTCAATCTCTCCACCCCTCCCCCAAGCATGGCCCTGTCCAGCGGACCAGGCCAGAGCTACCCCCTCAGGCATGCCCTGGGGGTAGACATAGGCTCGGGTCAGGTCCGGGCAGCATGACTGGCCCAGGGGAGACTGGAGACTCCTCCACGGTGACTGAGCTTGAAGGGGTGGAAGTCCTGCCCTGCCCGAGGCTGTGGCTGGTGACACTGCACAGGGGTCCTGCTGGGGTGTCCAGGTGTGGGTAATTGCAGTGGGCACTGACCCCAGCTGGCTCTTTGGGTCCTTGGAGAGGGTGCACACCGGGGCCTCACTCAGACAGAGTGGCACATCCTGCCGGGCAGCCCTTGGCCCTGGGGGTGCAGGGGTTGAAAGTCCCATCCTCTTGGCTGGCCGGTCTCGGGGACAGCCCTGAGTTGATATTGACCATCCAGTATGTTCAGCAGGTCCTGCCCCTGTATGCACCCCTCCCCCATGTGCATTTCTTTAAATCGTCATTCCAGACAGGCCGCCCTCTCCCTGTTCCATCCTGGCTCCCAGCTGCTCCCAATGCTGAGGACTGTCAGGGGGTGGGGAGAATGAAGGCTCTGGGGCCCTCCTGTGCTTCCCGCCCTGCCTCCCCCACCGGTCCTTGGTTGCCTCTGACCACGGAGTACTCACCCCCTTTCTAGGGAGTAAGCTGCTTTGCCAGGCCTTCCATCAGAGAGGGCAGCCCGGTCCCTTCAGAGAAATCAGGGGGCGGAGGGAAGGGCAGGCCTTGGCAAGAGTGGAGTTGTTCCACTAAGGAGAAGGTGAGTCCCAGCACAGGACCAGTGGGCCAGCACTCGCCAGAGCCAGAGGGGGCCAGCCAGGCCAGAGGGCACCCACTGGGTGCTGGGGGAGAGGGCAGGCAGGGCCTTGGAGCCTTTTCTTTGGACCGAGCCATGTGCAGGGGCCACCATAGAGGTCTGTAACTTGGGCTCAGAATCTCCCCAGTGACCAGAGGTGGGGGTGGGGGTGGCCCGGGCAGCTCTGGGACGTGGGAGCTGGCCATACCCTTGTGGGCTGGTCAGTCCGGCCACCAGATGGAGCTGCCTGCCGACAGGCCTGGCCCTCGGTGGGGGTGAGAACAACCTGGGTGGGGGGTGCCTGGGAGACTTGAGATGTTAGCTTCCCGCTGCACCTGGCTCAACAGGCCTCAACTGGCCCCCATGGCCTTGGGCAGCCCCCTAGCTGACCACTGCTCTCTGTAGGTGAGCTGAGGGCTGGGACTCATAGGCCCTACGGGGCAAAGGAGAACCAGAATGCACCTTAGAGGCAAGGACTTTAGACGTTTCACAGACTTTGGATACATGGCCAAGAGAGGCCAGTCCCTGGAAAAGACCATCTTGCTTGGTAAGGTAGAGGGGCGGCCCTGGATCAGATGGATGGACCAATGGATGGACCGTTGCTGCATCGATAGGCTCCCAGTAACAACCGGAGGTGGTGAGGCTGGAACTCTGTCTGTTGCACACGGGCTACTGTGAGTCAGAACCCAGCAGCAGCGTGGGGACCAGGCCTCTGTGGACACATTTTTGTCCGTCCCCCCTTCCACTCATGGGCCCTGCTCACCATCATGGCTCTAGGCAGCAGGCCCAGCCCTCTCAGTCTGAGCAGGTGTTCCGTGTTCCGTGTTCCGGCTCCAATATCAGAATGGCCCCGGGCTCCCAGCTCCTGCAGACCAGCAGGGCAGGCATGTTGTCCTCCTCACTTTGCAGGTCTAGAGCTGCAAGGTGACCTACCCCAGGTGGGTCAGCCAATCTAGACAGAGAGGGTGGCCTGGTATGCCGGGGTGGCAGGGACAGGCGGCAGCAGTTGGATGAGCTATTTGTAGGAGGAGGAAATTGATGGCACCCAAGATTCTTGAGGGCCCTTCTGAGAGCCACCCCTTCCGGCTCTCCTGCAGCTCCTCCCTCCTCCCCTCCCCTGTAACACCCCCTCCCCTGAGACCCCCTCCTAGGCTGAGCGTGAGTGTGTGTGTGTGTGTGTGATAATCCCCCTGGGCTGTTGGTCTACAGAGCAGGAGAGCAGGAGGCTCTGTTTTTATTGTCGCCTCAGCCTCCCCGCCTCCAAGGAGAATGTGGCCTTGGCCACTGCATTCCAAGGGACAACCAAGTCACATCCCTGCAAGTTTGACAGTAGGGGGCACAGGCCACCCTCGGGCCTCAGGAAGGGGCAGGTCCTAGAAGAACCTGAGTTGTCAGGTGCGCACAGCGCCCCCACACAGCACAGAAGGAAACAGCGCCCGGCCCACTCCCTCCTGACCGTCATCTGACGGCCCCCTGTTGCAGCCACTGTGTCCACCCATCTTGTGGGGGGTCTTCTTTTTCCGTGCTCTTTACCAAGCATGACGTCCTTCTCCGGAGACTGGCCTCTAAAGTTAGTCAGGAGGTTTCCAAACCAAACCAACTCACCGCCGGGGGGTCTGCCCGTCTGATTGCAACTCCTAGCTCATAGAGAGCCTGCAGGGTGGGGTCGACCTGCCCCCGTGGGGTCTCTGAGACTCACTCTCTCCAGGAGAGGACAGTCTCCTCTTTCTGCTGAGGAGCAGCTGGTGGTTTGGGACTGCTGACCTTGTGGGGTCAGCAGCCCAACGCCTCCCCACTAGGCCATTGGGCTCCTTGTCAGTAGACTGGGTGCCATTGCTTTGGCCATGCTTGTAAGATGCTCTGACTGTCTGAGTGTGCATGCGTGTGTGTGTGTGTGTGTGTGTGTGTGTGTGTGTGTGTGGTGTGAGGCACGTGTGTGTGTGTGTGTGTGTGTGTGTGTGTGTGTGTGTGTGGTGTGAGGCACAGAGCCTGTGTGACAGCCCTGGGCTGCCAGCAGGGAGAAGAGATGGTACTTGGGGACAGACTCATCCAGGATTCACAGGTAGATGAGGAAGCCACAGTGGCTGTGGAGAAGGGCCTGTGCAGATCTGAGGGACTGTCCTGAGTCCCTCAGCCAGGGACGTGCCCAGTTACCACAGGACTGGCTGGAACATTCTGGAATAGGACGGCCTGCTGCTGGCTGGCTCCCGCCCCTCCACGCCCTCAGTGCGGTCTCTTGCACCTGTGAGGGCCCTGCCCCTCCCTGCTGCCTCAGGGGGCTGAGGCCCACCTCAGGTGGATTCTTACTGGCTGGCAGGATGAGAGAGCTATGTGGAACAGAACCGCAAATTCCTTGAACAAACAGACAAAACCTGACCCACTGGACTGGTTAAGACAGAAGGAATCTCTGACCATCGCTCGGGGGGAATCTTAAGATCTTGAACCGAAACTCACCCCTGAGGTCACCTTGTCTCTAAATCATAGGTTGGCTCACAGAATGAGCTGTCACCAGCGAATAGTGCTCCTTAAGAAAAATAAAGAGAATGAAGACGATGTCCGAAGGAGCCCAAGGGTCCACTTCGGCTGCTCACTGCAAGGTTGGCCGTTTGAACCCACCAGCCGCTCCGAGGGAGAAAGACGAGACTCTCCACTCCGTGAAGAGCGAGAGCCTTGGACACGCACAGGGGCAGCTCTGCCCTGTCCTGGGAGTTTGGGGGGATGACAGGGAGTTTGGCTTTGGTGGCAGGAGAGCAAATGGTCAACAATGACTTTCAACCAGAGGAGAAAGTGAGGGGGCAGGTGGGGAGAGCAGACGTTAGAGAGGCCCTGGTTCAGTTGCTATGAAGAATGTGAGCGAGTTAGGCCGGGTTGGTTGGGTCTAGCCCCCTGCCCCACTCCACCCACCTCACTTGCTTTGCCCTGGATTTGCAATCTGATGGCGCTGGGCAGGGCCAGCTCACTCCTGCCCGCCGTGGCGATGGAGGAGTCAGGTGAGGTGGGCTGTTACTGGGAGCTCAGCCGGGGCTCCGGGCTGCCTGGAGTTGCTTCCTCACAGCACGGTGGCTGGGGCCCATGAGTGAGCATCCCAAGATCCCCCACAAAAAAAGCAGAAGGGGCCAGGTTTGTTCTTATTTTTTAATGAATGCGGAGAGTGTGTGCGTGTGAACAGACACACAGCCAAACACGCCGTTCAGCAGTTCATTTCAGCGACATCGTCCTTTCGCTGGGGGTGCCTTTCCTCAGGAAAGGTCACCTGTCTCAACAGCCTTCTCCCAGTGATGCACCACTGGGTGCACACACTTCCCTGCCCTCTGAGCTTCTCGTCTATTGCTGTTTCCGACTGGTCACAGACAGTTCTCGAAGGATCCGACCCTTCCCCCAGCAGGCCTTCTTCTCTAAGCAGACTAACCTGCTATCTGGTTCAGAGATGAGGTCATGGAGTGTTAGCGTTCTTTTCGAATTTGTGGTTTTCCAGTTCTTTCTGGAAGATCCTATGGGATAAAGAAAAAGAAACATTTTAATTTTTTTTTAAAAGATGGCTTCAGGAGATAGTTTGTTTCAGGTTGAAAGATTCCCCCAGACAATAGATCCCTCGGTCTCCAGAAAGTCTGGAACCTATGAGATTTAGAAATGCTGTTGTACATTTCCACCCTTTTGATCAGGGTTCTTCATTAGAATCTTTGATGAGAGCACCCCTAGTAGTGGGGCACCATCTGGTCATCGTGTCTAAGGAGACAATTGTTCAGGGGCCACATACTCCCCCTCCTTCTGTTCCTGACGCTCCTCTGCAGGTGGACGGAGACACATTGTTGTGCTCTGGGCGGCCACTTGCAAGCTTCTAAGTCTCCGTGCACTACATACAGGACACCACAAACGGGAGGTCGCGCAGAAGCACCACAGTCAAAATTAGTCGCAGGGTCCTAAATGCTTCCTTCCTCCTCCCCCACTATCATGGTCCTTACAAATCTGGCTATACCAGAGGATGTACACTGATGCAGATAGGAACTGGAAATCCAGGGAATCCAGAGCAGA